AGTTTATTAGGTATAGTCGGTTGTTAGTGGAATCATACGGGACATTTTGAAGATGTTCCCTAGCTTTTCTCTTATTGTCTGATTTTTCATAATGACAGTCGTGTTCTTCTTATCTGCTCTCGTGATAATAAATATTCTATCATTTCTTAACTGTTTTCATGCATATAATTCATTTTTAGCTAGGTTAGATATGTGTGGTTTTTGATGTAATCAAGTGTCCACAATTTCATTTCACGCGTCATCCGCTTTCTTATTAGGAAGGCAATTCAATGCTGGTTTAATTGCAGGTATAATATCGAAAGGTGATAATCGTGGAAATTAAGACCCTTTTTTAATATAAGAAATTTCGTGGATATTAAGCTTTCTATTTGATAAATCAACGATCAATCTGTTATTATCCAATGTGTTAAATTTGTCTCCCGTGCTGTAATGTGTATTTGAGAATTTTCTGAAACTTTCTAATTTGTTGTTGTTTTGACTATTGATGATGTAACTGTTCTCTGTGTTTAATAAAGGAAAGGTTAATTACTAAAACCTATTTTACTGCAGAAATTAAGTAGTGTTTATGTGGTTATAGAACTATTTTGAGAAGTTTAAAAATGATAGAAAAAACTTGGATATCCCACCAGTCAAGTTAGAGAAAGATATAAATATGTCACTATCTTGATATCTAGGGATTTTCTCAAAGAAACTGACCGGTTTAAAGGGATTTAAGGTTACTTTTCATCTTTTTGGGATTTTAAGAATAGTTATAGTAATTGCTCAACATCATTTGCTACCAAACTGTATCATCTAAGGATTATCCGAGAAATAACGCAGTGTAAGATACTACTACTAGAATCTACCGATAAGCAGCAGTATTTGTAAGAGTTAAGTAATACTGTTGTTAAACATTTTTTATTTTGTGACTGTCCAAATAATCGCAGTATTTATCAGAGGATGGTGCAAAATAGCTTTACTGTTGTTATTAAAAATTATATTGTATAAATAGTCGTTTCGTAGTGAATGAGAACACTAGTGGGGACAATCGAATATATTTGAACACAAAATTACAGAATCTCTTAGTAAAATCTAAGAACCATACAAACTGTCGATCAATCTTCTTAGATTTCACTGTGCCTTTATTTCCACAGCAATCATTCTTTTTTCTCGTTCTCTTTTCTTCGATCTTCTTAAACTTCTGCTGCCAGGTATTTCACTTTCGATTGATGATGCATACTACTTATGTCTATCGACATCGGTAGCACGCACTATATATATACTCAGATGGATCGATATCATTTTATTGGCGTACACTTAATCAATTAATCGATAGCGATTAATTCTATTTATCTAAGGCCACCCACTATTTATTTACATATTTTGATTGATTATTATTGAAAAGCGAAAATAGCGTATATCGACTTCAATCACTGTTTATTTTCTACAGGTAGGTCTAATTATTGATTTTTTTTTATAAAGTTTGATAAACAAAATATATTACTACCAATGAGTTTTCTTCTTTGATTTCATGAAATTCGGGCTGCATTTTCTTAAAATGGAAATGTTTCACATTCGTAAACTTGACTGTGTTCAACGCTGATCTTCAAGTTTTATGTAGTTTGAATCCGGTTTACTAATATCTTTGTTTATTTCACTTGTTTCTCAAATTAGAACATATAATCAAGTTGTAATTCAAATTTGGGCAATATAGCCGAGAATAATTCACATACTAAAAATATTTGAAGTTTCCAAAATTTGCTCAAAATCATCGAAAATAGCAGAGATGCGTTCACTGTTTGTTTTTGCCCATTCTTTAGGTTTCTTTTTATCTACACCTAGCCTTTTCTGCTACTAACAGTTTTGTTACTACTTCAAGTGCTATAGGATTCGTTTCGACTATACTACCTTGCTGTGTTAGGTTAGAGAATTTCGGTCGGCGGCCTATGCTCCTATGAAGAGTAACAGGTGTAAGTGCTAGTGTGATGTGACAACTTGAACCGATGCTTTGTCAGGTTCTAGGTTTTATATTACTGACTAATATTCGGGGAGGTGTAACACTGATTGAGAACTGTTAGATAATAAACAACTATTTCTTCCATATTTGGAACATTTCAAGTGTTTACTCATTCCCCCCACACTGGATTTAACACATGAGTTTTGGGCCTCGCTACAAGCGGTAAATCTTCAAACCATTAAATCAGAATCCCAAGTTACTCTTCTTATTGGTAAATCTCGAATTCCTTGGTTCAATCCTACTAAGGTGTTGTGGATGCTAACTAATGTTTAGTCCAAAATAGCAATTCAATGCTCCGTCGTTTTCAGTAGATCTGTAGCTAATACCAGTTCGCTATGAAGACCAAATTCCACTCAGTCAAGCTCCACAAATTCTCCACTTTCTTATTAAATATATTTGTGTTCAGAGTACTGTGAAAAGGGTTGAGAAATATCGAGCGTAAACAGTATAGCATCACGCAACTTATTTGTTTTTCATTTGAAATATTATCTTCTAAAGTTTATAAATTTGACTTAAATGAACCGACCAATTTTTAGTAATGGTTGAAATTCATTCTTCATATTGCTCGTTATTTTTTTAAATTTTCAGTGTCCTTATCAGTAACGTTAATTATTTGTACTGAGTTTGTAAACAGTTTGCAGACTCGCTAATATGCAACTTTTGAACCGCAGACATAAATCTTAAAAGGAAAGACAAGAGAGACTTCAGTTTCAGAGTTACTTTGGTTACAAAATTCATGAAATACGTATTTGGTTATCAATAACACCGTTATTTTGAAAGTTTGTAAGAACAATGCCTAGTTAGTTGTATTCTAGGTGTTTGAACAGTTAGATTAGAAAAAGATATTAATGGTTTTGATTCTAGATTTGGCTGAAAATTTGCTGAATGACTTGATTATAGGTATTGTGTTATGTTCCTGCTGCTCTCTCATTAGCAGGATAAAATCCAGATGTGCTCAGTGCAAGTTCGAATCTGTTTGGTTTCTTTTAAACGAATCAGCTCTTAACAACGGATCCGGAAGCCTCTAATCTAAATTCTACAAAAGGTGAATTCGTTTTTTTTCAGCTCATTTTTGTCAAGTGAAGCGTAGTGGTAAAGGATACTATTCAGGGAAGATTATTACACTGAGGTACTTAAAAATATGTATAGATATTTTCAACAGGTATCCTCACAGCATATTGTTACAAATTCATTCCTTATAGGGTTTCTTGTAAACTAGTCTCATTTTGAAATATGCCTATGACTAGTTGTCAGAACATGTTACGCAACTTTGATCGTATGTGTTTTTAAAATCAGAATTTTACTGTTTAATAGTTACAAGTGGCGATTGAGCTACTGAGGAATAATTCCACTAATCCAATGCTCAACAGAGATACGCAAAATTCCGGAATAATTTAAATTGGAATTAAGTATAGGTTCTCAATGAAACCACCAGTTGATAGTCAAGCTGTTTGCCGAATCAAACACAAACTGCAAATGTCAACTTTGTTGTGTTTGGGCTAAAACTTCAGTCATAATTAGTTCCTTTCTTTTTAACCAGAGAGTTAGTTACTTGTAAGTTGCTTGAAACCACGATGAATCAATTCTTCAGTTATCTCTGGCCTTTAATGATTGTCCAGATATATGAAAATAATTTGAAAAATTATCATCTTTAGATATATGAGAATAACTTAAAGTAATTATTATCCCTACCAATTACCTATTGATTTAAAATAACTTATTAAGATTAGACTAGTGAATATATGTATAACCTAGTTTCAGCTCAACTGTAATAGTAGACGATATTGTACATTTCTGCTTTCAAATGTTTTGTACAGTGAATATATATTTCAAGGTTTCGTTACTCATTATCACATGTTGATTTCAAAGTTTTGAAATAAAGAGTAACAAACATTTACTCTCATTATGCTCCATGAATTTTCCGCATTATCCTCCTACAGTTTTGATGTGAACCGACTCGTTATGACTTTATTTTTCTTTCAGATTCGACAACCAACTAGTTAACAGCCTTCATGTTTCTTCATTCAAATTCATTGACCAGAATATTTAACTCCAGTGAGGTCCTAAACATAACCTATCCTTTCATTGGTTCCTCATACTACTGCCACTGGTTGACATCAACTTTTGCATCCCATTATAAAAACCTTGGCTTTTTATTAAAACTCTATAAAGGTCTAGTATCGTCCCATTTTAAAATTAAACTGTTTACCATAAAATAACAAATAATCATTTTTAAACAATTACCAAGTATTTCACACATATCAAATACATTTATCAAGTACAAAAACATGAAACATGATACTACCATACAAAGTTAGATTAATTTTAATATAAATAATCTGAGTACTGATGACTTTTCAATAATTCATTGTGCTTACGAGCTTCATAGAAAAATTGTGGAGTTCTAATTGTGTACCTTGAGAAAAAAACGACACAAATGTCTGTAAAAAAAAGGGCATCAAGTTAAAATATCAATTATATATTACTATTTCAACATTAAAAAGTCTGTATTTGAGCAGCGAAATCTTTATTCCCAATTAGTTTACCATCATCGTTCTACTTACATTAATATGATAATGGCTAAGGATTTGGTGATAAAATCAATATCAATCAAGTCAGGCGTTAAACCTGTTGTCAACAATCTGGATCAACGTACATACGTATCAGATCCTACGTTGTCCATGACTGAGTGTTGAATTTAAAAAATAGCTGACAGGAGTTATAATGAATTTTCTAACTTTTGTTTGATATAATCTCCATTTTGTAGTCCTCTTTAAATGAATAAAAAACCGCTTACTTAACCAATATCTTAATTATCAGTTATAGCCTATTTAATTAAGCATTATTGTAAAGATAAAAGTTTAATAACAGCGACTTTATTATTTTATTTGATATGTCTTTTTATCTTTCAAAACATTTCGTTCTTATACGTGTTAGGATTTGCAGAACCTTGTAACATTTTGGTTAACAAAATAACTGATTGATTGAGTGATGAAAAAATGTACGGAAATTTTGTGGAGTAAGACATGAAAATCACTAGACAGGTAAGATTTCCAATTCTGATTTACAGTTTAACATTATTAATTGATATGGTTTAAACTAACTTTCGTGTGTTTCTGTATTCACCCATGTTGGTGGTGTTATATCTCTAGTTACCAGGGCTGGGAAGCATCTGAATAACTAGCTTACTGGTCGTTGGTCCTAGAGTCTTTGTTCCGTTGCAGACTAGGTAAATTTGTAATCGATTAAAACATAGCAATCCAATAACCGCATCCCTGTGTGCTAGATTTAATGTTTTTTTTTCATTTTCGTGCCTCCTAACTGATTTGTCATGACCATATAAACACACAAACGTATATGTACTCTCTTCTAGTAACAATGTACCTGAAGGTTAGGTGTGAACTTGTTAACGATTGGATGTTAACAACTCAGTGTATTAAATGTACAAAAGTATTTGATTGTTGTAATCGGTGGTCCTTAAATGTTTACGTAATTTGCTCATCGAATTTTCAGTAGTCTCATTTTTGAGGTTAGATGCAAAATATTCTTAACTCTCTGGACAATTTGAATGAAATTATTACTCTGATAAATTGTTGAAAACCTGGTAATGAGTAATTTATGTTTGATAGTAACTTTGTGCTCTGCAAGACAAGTCAGTCACATAAAAAGTTGCGAATATCACCGTCAAAATAACAGCAATTTCTCTAGACAGTAAATCAGAGAAAATAAAATGACATTCAGTGATAAACCTTTAAATTTTAAGACAAGTGATTGTTCATAAAAAATATGCGGAAGGTTTGAACATGACAGTAAATGATTGAGTACTTGCATAAACAGTTGCCTATTCCAGTAAAAAATATACCAAGAACTCTCAAATTCATCCTGGTTCAACAAATTACTTAGTCGAAAAAACGAATTGACGGTTGAATTTTTCACTGTCTGCCTTGGTTTCTAACATTATCTTCATCTAGGGTGGGTAAATGAAAGTCTCAAGTTGGTTTTATAGTGACTCGCAAAGCACTCTAGTTTACTGTACGGATCTAGTTAGCCAGTTTATTACTGAACATTAATTGGCAATAAAATAATTTCCCTTATTTAGGATACATACCATCTAGGTAGTGGTTTTCTTATTCTTTCCAACATGTCTAGTTTCTCTGCTTGCATTAGCATTTTCTCTTCTAATTTTAGACGTTTCAAGCGCGCTTCCAATAGATTTTGATGTACTGGGGAAATAAATAAACTATGATAATTCAACGAAGATTTCGAACTGGGATCTGAAAATTCGACAAAAATAAAAGGAATTTATAAAAAATAAGAAAAAGCAGGAATACTACTTTTTATCCAAGTTAGTAGGACGGTTGAAGGTCACTTAGTTTTCGAAATTCATAATTAGATTTTATAGTTAGAGAATACAGAAGTAACTGGACTCGAAAGTGATATGAAGATTAAGAGTTAAACATAACGATCATGTCTGCGTTTTATTGACTGGTGAGTGAAGTACAAAACATGTCGACTGTAGTCAATTACGTTTTGAATTGATTTGAATTATATTTACCGTTTTTGAAATTTCTGTAACTCTTTATTGTTGATATTCAGGACTGCAAATGATCAGTTTCTGTCGTTATATGTGGGTCCTGAGAGGATTTCACTGACAGCAAGTTGTGTAACACGTTTTTATTATGTTTGGTTGCTAGCAGTAGAGTTCAGGAATCTATTTGTTCCTGTTTAGATTTGTCAGGTGTTGGTAGGAAAGGGTACTGGGTTCGAGTCTCAGTGTAAACGTCAACAATAAAATACAGGGATGTCTGCCTGATGATTCCCTCAATAGAATGAAATATGCTTCCTGAATTCTATTCCTAGCCATATATAAAATATACTAAAATTTGTTAAATATTTTGTTTATAAATGTATTGTTTTGCATGAGCGAAATAACTTTTAACGGCTAATTTCCAGTTTTTTTATGTTAGTTCATTTTAGCATACGAAAGGTTAAGTCCGATTTCTGTTTATAAACTAAAGTCCCATCATTCTAAACAAAGATGGATGGTGTCTAGCAGTGGAATCCAGGACACACGTCTCGTCCTGTTTGAGACCCGTCAGTCAAACGTACCTGAATCTCAGAGTTGATGTTCACACTGGGATTCGAACCCATCAACGTTCGCTTCAAACACCATTGCGTTATCCACTTAGCTACTGTGTTCAGATGGCCACTAGCTTGCTCAATGTGGTAAAAGGGATAACGCGAGGGCGTTTAAAGCGAATGTCACTGGGTTCGAATCCCAGAGTGAACGTCAACTCTGGGATGCAGGTGCATGCGAATGACGAATTCCAAACATGACGGGATGCGCGTCCTGTATTCCACTGCTAGACACCATCCAGCCCTGCTTATAACGCTTTTCACCTAATGGAGATGTCGATGCAATCCGTGCAGGATGCACATATGCCAATAAGAGACTGGTCAATCGGATTCCTAAAAATCAATGAGAGGATCCAAACAAACAATACAAAAATGAATTAAAGTCCTATCAATTTTGTATTGCTTTGGTGACTTTAGTTTTTAAGATTTGGTTACGAAATATCATATTCTCTCAGCTCAATAGAAGATTTCTTTTTTCTTAGCTCCCTATATGGGCTCTGCTCATTTTATTCTGACAGCGGGTTTTCTAAGTACTTGGAACTACACAAATTATGACAATAACTTCTCCATTTCCTGAAAGATCTTATATTCACAGCTTTTTCTGTTTATCCAAATAGAATAAACGATCCCAGGAATGATTGTTAAAATTGTTCCACGTCTACTACATTTTATTAATCTACCACTATGCCACTTCTAGTCTCGACTTATTCTTTATGTGAAGGTGGTATAAAGCATGTGCAATCCTTTTGTTAGATAATTGACACTGATATTTCTAGGATAGATCTAGGCTAAGAAATAGCAAGAAATAAATGGGTATAAGGCGTAAATAGATCACCTTTGTGAGTAGTTGTTATTCAACACACCTTGTACTGGGTTTTATTTCATAACCCATATCTGTGAGCTACCCTCCAACAGCGACGTTGCAGTGTAGTCCACCGTAAAAACTTTCGTATAGTGGTGACAGTCTTCTCAGGCATACCTTGGTATCGAAGAAGGTTCCATATGGTTCTCCTATCCACGCTATCAAATGCTTTCTCACAGTCATCTTGGCCACCACCAGATCGTGATCTAAAGCTATGTCAGCTTCCCCTCTTTTTCCTTCATGTCTTCCATTGACCTTTCAAACCTTTTATTGATGCAGTTGTGATTAATGTGGTTCTCTGTGATGTGATCCGGTGAGACCCATATAACTTGTGTATGCGTTTGTGGATGAATATTGTGTCGCTTACAACCATCTTTTCAGGGCATAGAGATTTACAAATCTCTCACCATTCCCATAATATATTCATACCTGGTGTTTTCCATTCCGACTATAACATCTAGGTCTCGCATCAGGATGATCAGGTCCTTTCCTGGGCACCTCTATACGACTGACCGAAGCCTCTCATAAGATGGATCTTCATAGTCTTCGTTGCCATCATTAATGGGTGCATAACACTGGATAACACTTATTGTAATCCCCTACCTCTTTGTCTTGAAGAATGCTTTGCTGATTCTTGATCCTTGAGACCCCCACCATATAAGTGCTTCTCTTGCTTCGTCGGACAGGATCGGTGCAACTCCTTGTGTGTGAGAAGCATTTTCTTCTTCATGAGTACAACGGTAACTCTCCTGAACCTGGTCTTTTCTGTCCAGCCGGCGTCTAGTGAGTTTCGCTTATCGCGAGCACTGACAGGTTTTATTTTTTCGTTTTCGTAGATATTCTGTTGGTCCTCCTGATCTCTCATATTTTGCGGGCATTCCAAGTACTTATTTTGATTGTTGCTGTGGTTGTTAATAGAGAGATCAGTTTCATGATCTTTGAGGAATCCCGGGTTTCAACATGAGGCGTCATAACTTTTCTAAATGAACACCCTCCAACTCTCAGGACAAAGTTCGAACGATTCGAGTGATGTTTTTCCTGGTTAGCGTCTTTTCAGCGAAGTTGTGTTTCTATGGGATGAGGTTTCTAACCCCATGCTTAATCGTCCTTCTTTATATGGGCTCGGGACCGGTAGTAACCCTAGATGGGCTCCAGACGGAGATTGTACACGTTAAACAAATCTATTTTTCTTTGACACAAAAAAGATTTGTAATCCATGTGATTATTTTTATGAATAATCCTTAACTTATCCCATTATATCATATTTTTATATATATGTGACTGCTTATACCTGTATGAGTATATTATCCTTGAGCTATAATATAAATTCATGCAAAAATTTACTCATTGGTTTGACTGATGAGTTGAATCCGCATACCTCTCACTATGCATTCGCTCTCTTCCTTCATTGATAGTTTGTCTGGTGAACACGTTTGCTAGGAAAAAAACATTTATTACCCAACTTCTAATGTATTATCGAATGAGTGTGTTGCACAACGGGATAGGTTTAATTAATGTATATAAAAGTAATCGATGATTTATAAAATCTGAAGATAGGTGCATTTACGAATTGGAGACCACTCTGAAAAAAAACATAATGCAACTTATTGTAATATCCATTCATGTTACAAACGTTATGTCTTATTCATATATGCTTGAAATCCATGTCTATTAGTACCCAATTTATGTAGAAAATGCCGTGATACCTATGATACTTGAAATTTCATAAAGTTGGACTACAATTTATCATTTATCATAATCCTACAAAATAGGTAGTAATAAGACAGAGTTTAAATATTAGCTAGTGAAATCCACGGATTACCAGGGGGAGGAAGAGCGAAGGAGAAAAATGGAATATAGAATTTATAAAGATATTTTACAGTGTTAAAGCTTTTGGTGGGGATTTGTTCTTTGAGCTGGGTGATTTAGTTGCAGGGCTTTCATTGTTCTTCTGAACAACATCATCAGCATAAACGTCAGCTAGAAATGGTAAAGTATTTTTAAGTTTTTTGTAAGTTCTAATTATCCACACTTGAGGAGTTGCATTCAAGTAGTTGGGATCGCACCTATAGAAAAGAATACTGTTAATGGTGAAAATATAGGACTAGGTGGGCTACAGTCGGCTATTTCCAATGAATTCATCACTGTTAGTTGTTAAATAAAAGGTGTAAAGTGACAATCTGTTGTTAAAATCACTGATTTGTTGGAAGAATTCTGCGAATTCAAGTCATCGTTTTCTTAAAACTACTCATTATGTTCAGTTTTATATTTTATGCTGATAATAATGAAGTTCTTATTCTTTGTCGTCAAGTCATGTCAGTTAGAGAAGCTGTGAATACCAAAGTACACGACATGGACATTTCGTCCTAGTGTATGGCCCGTCACCTCATGACATCTACTCAGGGTCGAAACCTGGGGATTCAGGTCACTTGATGAGACCATACTTACAAACTAATGAGTTAGAATTCAACGGTTTAGATTTGTTCTTCATTCAATATGCAATATGATGCCATTCACATCGAATGTCATCGGTGCGTTATCTCAAGTCCAATTTAAATAAACAGAGATAATTTTATATAAAATTCTTACTGCTTGGATAATTACTGAGTAGTTTTATTTAAATCGTACATTTAACTTACTTAGATTTTCTAATAATTGTTTGACTGATGTCTTTAAATATCCTAAACTTGTTGGTGGGTTATCTTTTGGATGATAACGCCTGACTGAAGTTGTCGTTCTAGGTTGGTATAGTTTACCACTTTCATCTATTACACGTTCAAAATCAGCTTTATCAACGGCTTGACGATAAACAGTTGTTGCAAGTACTGGTGCTTCTTCAGCCAGTACACATTGCCATGGATAAAAATCATCACCGGGCCGTTTAATACTGCCGAAAGCAGGTGGTGAAAATGTATAAAATCGTTTGCTGATCAACATGTTCACCACATTCATAGTATCCTCATTCAGATAATTGAAAACAATACAGAAATACTGTAAACTTCGTATGGGAATTCGAGTATTATCTTTATACGTTTATTAACAAAAACCAGATCTTAAGATGCTAATGTCTATCATCCTATACAAAATCTCACGCAGTTTTGTCGTGTTTAAAGATCTTTACTTATAAAATTCAAAATATTCCTTGTTAGCTGAATACCTACCTATCTAGCATTAGGAACCGCAGTTGTCGCAAATTTCTAACCCATTTATAGTTAGAACTGAAAGTCCAAACCAAAAGCAAAGCAAGGCAACATTCAAACCACTTGGTAAAATTCTTAAATTTAAGTAACTCTGTTTTGAACATCACTGATTTTGATTTCAGAGACTCTCATTCACAATTCTGGTTCATATGAAATGTAGAGAACATCGAAATCCACCGGTGATATTTGTTCCACTTTTAAAATGATTATTTTTTTTCACTAGAACTTTAGAAATTCTCTTCAAAGTTATTCACTAGTGAGCACACATAAGTTAGTAGGACACAACATGTTTCGAGGTTGTCTAAGGTAAAAACAGTCTTAACAATCAGCGCCTTCTGACCTTCAATAGTTTTCCTGCTGAAATCAGTAACGAAAATTGGCCACCTTAATTATATATTTGTATTTTGTGATTTTATGTTTGATGTATTCATTTATCATTTTCTCTTAGATCCTGAGTTTCAAAATCTACTTACACCTATTTTCATATAACGAACCGTCTCTACTACCATTACTGAGACCACAGATATTGCTCTGGCGTTCATCTTAACGACTTCACTTAGCTGTGATAATGAGGAGAGGTTGGACGTTGAGTATAAGTGATTGACTTACCTGTGTCATCAGAAATCTCATGAAGACCACCATTTACTCCCAAGATTGGATCTATATCTCGTTAAAAAGTACAAACTATATGTAAACCTGGTTGCAGATTTTCTCTCCGATTATAACCAACCACTCAAATTTCTGACAAATATTCTAAATTTTGATCCGAGCAGTAAACATTTAAATTTAACAGTAAGTTACTTTGTCGCGCTATGTTTCTTTCTTTCGAATATCGAACTTCAAAATATTTAAGGAAGAACTGTAAAAATTAACCGTACTTGACACACTAAATTTAGGTTAAAAATCATTTACAATAATATATTGGCGAAAGGGGGATATGTTATAGATAAGTTAGGATAATTTCATTCTTGACTTATAGTATTATGAATACACATCTGAACTTAGTTCGCCTAATTGGTTCTATGAATTCGATAATTGCCGTTAATGTACGTAGGAAAAGTCTAGTTTATTGAGGAGAAAATGGACTCCGAATCATACTACAACCTTGATAAATTATCACAATGAATGGTATTCAAATATTCTGTACAAACAGTAATAAAAAGGAAACAACAAAACCTGCGTATGCTAAATTTATTCAAAAAACAAGAAAATACTTTTTTAGATAAAACTGATAATTCACATATACAAACATTTTATTAATTTTCTATAATTTATCCTATGGCTTGTTAAATATCATCTTCAATAGTGAAAATTCTTGAAAATAAAAAGTAATTCTTGAACTGTCACTTATGATTAATTTGTTAGCACAATTCTGTGACCAGATCCAAACTTTAGTGCCCAGATTTCAGTCAGGCTTTATTATACCAAGACTGTTGATGCTAGCACACTACTCTGGCAGTTGAAATTCGAGTGCTCTGATAACAAGCTACCTTCTTAACAAACTTTACAAAAATTAAGGTGCAAAAGGTTTGATGTTTTACTGACTAAACAGTAAACACAGTAAACTGAGTTATACTTCATTCAACTTTCAATATTTTATAATAGTCAGTAATAAGTTCTATAACTATTTTCCATGCTCTTTAATATATTTTGGAAAGAGGCTTGTGATGTTGATGGAGTCACTGTTTCCCCCAAGGCATTATATCACGCCTTGCGCTCTCGATATAAAGTTTCATATCAATCATATGGTCAACATTACTCAGTTGTGTACGTAGTTAAATGAGAAAATAAGTTTGCACTACACTTTAGTGACATAGAAATACCGGATAAATTTAAAAATTTAGTTACTCGATAATAGCAGGACACTTTGTGGCTCACTTAATGTGCGGGTGATTATTTTTAATGAAACTTTATGCTTCCCCTGGGTTTTTTAAAATTTGCGTCCAGCTAAAACCACATAATATTCTAACAAACCCTCATTTACATTCTCCATCTTATTGTTTCAGCAGTTCAGCTACATTAATCATTAGTTTCGATCTGGTGCATCGTAAGAAGATATTCAGTCAAAACGTTCTAAGGTTTGAGTACGTTAGGTGAATATTGAAATTACATTAAAAAAGCGATGAACAATTACATTATATTAGTAGGTCTTATAACATTGAAATATTTGTTAGAAAAACTAAGCAATCAAAATTTTGATGTAAAATCCCTTGTACCAAATGGGCAATTCCTATGAACCCGGATCATTTCAAAGAGTGCTGAGAACTGGAAACTTTAGAACACTCCCGTATTATGGCTTCCGAACTCATATGAAGCCCCAAAAATGCCCTGGTACGGCCGAGAGTGGGGAGAGTCCGCTCTCTTTCTCGAAATACTCTCACGCGGCCACGCGTATACAGCCTCTGCCAGAGAAGTCCTACTCATTGCCTTCTCATGGCAGCGGTGTTGTTTACGAAAATGAGAGGACGAAAAGCGAATGTCCGGCGCTTTAACCGGATCCCAAACCAATGGTGCATATGAGCTCCAGTATCCTGCGGGAACAAATGATGTATGAACCAACCGTTGGTCACCGTCTACCATGGGACTGCACCTCCTTACGATGCTCCACTGCCTTGTGGGTTGGACCTTCAGGTCAAAGGCTCGTGGTGTGGTCTCCTAAGTAAACCACCTGCTTCGGTCTGGGCACCCGTATAGTATAACAGCCCACACAAAAATATGATGAACTGCCTATAATTATGGAAACTACTTTTCTGGCTTCGAATACCAATCAAATGATTCAAATTATTATTATTATTATTATTATTATTATTATTATTATTATTATTATTATTATTTACCACATGATTCACCCTCTTTTATACTTATACAGCGGCTCGTCTTTGGTAGAAATTCAACTGTATCTAATTGTTCTCGAATCACTGTCCGGTTGAAAATTGTATGTTACCACTGGATATGAGTACTGAAGCAGTTTTTCTGAAACCACGTGCATCATTCAAACTGGCTGCCTTCAACGTTGGACAACAGATAGGGCTGGCTATGTCTTTGCAAAGTCTTAATATCGATGTCTGCTGTCTATCCGAAACCCGTATCCAAGACTCTGGTGAGGTATTACAAATTCGCTCTTCATCTGTCGCTTCGAAAAGCTTGTTTTACGTGCGCTTATCCGAGGACCCTGTGATATCTTCGTCTGGTCATGCCGGCGTCGGTGTTGCACTAAGCACTAGAGCTGAGGCAGCACTAATCGATTGGATTTTCATTAACAGTCGGTTATGTGCTGTTAGATTAGAAAGTTCCATCAAAGTGAGAAATCGGTGTGAGAAACGATGTCTTTTCGTCATCTCCACCTATGCCCAGACAGATTGCAGCCCGAATGCAATCAAGGATGAATTCTACCACCAGTTAACTGTTCTTCTCCAGAAAGTGCGTTCGACAGATATTGTATTACTAGCCGGAGACTTGAATGCTCAGGGCGGGCGTCTGGGCACAGAAGAGAGTCGTTTAGGTGGCCGATGGGGACTCGTTGGTCGCAGATCAGATAACGGAGACCGTCTACTGAAACTGTGCACAGACAACAACTTGTTTCTGGCTAGCACTGACTTCCGGCACGATCATCGCCGATGTGCCACCTGGCGTCCTCCCTCTGCATCTCAAGCCTGGACTCAGATTGATCACATCGCGATCAGCTACCGCTGGCGTGGTTGTGTACAAGACTGCCGCTCCTTTTGGAGTACCTATCTGGACTCTGATCATGCCCTGGTCTGCGCCAATCTTACCTTACTTTTCAGTGGCCAACGAGGTGATCTTCACCAAAGGATTGATGCCAGCAAGTTGGTTGCAACTTCTGTTGTAACTAAGTATCGAATCGAGCTAGCTTCTAGGCTAGCTACCATTCCACCGAAAAGTATAGATGAGCATTGGTTGCAACTGTATGACGCCATGAAAATGGCGGGTAAAGCTGCTTGCGGCTTCGTGAAACGTCCCGCTTATAAGCACTGGGTTTCTTCAGGCTCCTTACAACTCATCGAAGCTCGTCGGTCTACTCCGGGTGACCGTGAGTTTGACCACAAACGAAGGATATTACGTAATGAAATCGGGCAAAGCTTGCGTAAGGATTGAGAAGCCTGGTGTTTGAGTGTGCTAATGAGCTGGAAGCAGCAGCTGCATCTGGTAACTACCGGAAGCTCTTCCAAATCACCCGAGCCACTGACAGTAAAAAGTCTGATGTGAGTGAAACAATCAGTGAGGATGACGGGATGCCAGTCACTAACATCCATCGACGTCCTAGAAGATGGGAAGAATTTTTCGAAGGGTAGTTCAACTGGCCTGTTGCTCCGGCAACATCGGTCAGACTATCCTGCCCTTCATGGCCGGTGACGACTGGTCCACCAAATGAGTGGAAAGTTCGCAAGGAACTCCAACTCTTGAAGCGTAACAAATCACTGGGCCCAGATGACTGACCTCCAGCTCTTTTTAAACATGGTGGTGACTTTCTGACTAAGGAACTGACAACGTTGTCTACAAAGGTCTAGAAACTAAAGAGTGTACTAACGTCATGGAATGAGTCGATAGTTGTCCCTATCTTTAAAAAGGGTTCACGTCGTTCCTGTAACATTTATCGGGGGATAAGCCTACTTCCGATTGCGTCCAAGCTATTGGCTTCCGTCATACTTCGTAGGTTGTTCAAAACCCGAGAAAGATTGGTTCGCAAGGAGCAGGCTGGTTTTCGCCCTGGTCGAGGATGTATTGATCATATCTTCACCCTCCGCCAAATGTTAGAACACCGTCATACTTATCAGAGGCCAATAATCGTAGTGTTTCTTGACATCAGGGCTGCCTTCGATTCGTTGGACAGGACTGTTCTCTCTGATTGTCTATTGAAGAAGGGTGTGCCTGAGAAGTTTATTAATATCCTAAAGGCCCTATATACAAACACCTCAGGCAAAGTGAGGGCATACGACCACCTCTCTCCATTGTTCCATTCAAGTATTGGAGTTGGACAGGGTTTCCCAATCTCACCATTCCTCTTGAACTTTGCCATCGATGACATTCTGGAAACAGCTCTGATGGATGTAGGTAATGGTAGTGTGGATGTGTTGTCTGGAGAAGGACTTTTCCACTTTGAGTGTGCGGATGATATTGTCTTACTGTGCAATGATACTCGAGACATACAACCCTCACTAAGTCGGTTGGCAATTAGTGTTCGTAGGCATGGTATATGATTTGCACCTTCGAAGTGCAAAGTACTTTTACAAGACTGACAGGACCCTGAACCTGCACTCAACCTGGGTAGTAAGCAGATAAAAGTAGTCGAGAAGTCCGTGTATCTAGGTAGCTGTATAAGTGCTGGTGGTGGCGTGAGTGATGAGATCAATGCACGTACAGTGAAAGCCAGAGCGGCTTATGCCAATCTGGGCCACCTTTGGCGCCTTCGTGATGTTAGTTTGGCTGTAAGAGGTCGGATCTACAACGCGTCGGTGAGAGCAGTTTTGCTCTATGCTTGTGAAACCTGGCTTCTCCGAGTTGAGGATGTTAGACGAGTCTCTGTGTTCGATCATCGCTGTTTCCGAAGGATTGCTGACAGCCAGTGCAACACCATGTCAGTAATGCAGAGGTTCGGCATCGTGTTCGGGCACAGAGATGATAATGCAATCGATGTCACCATCTTGAAACACCGACTTCGGTGGCTTGGACATCTACGAATGTCATCCCAGAGAATTCCACGTCATGCATTATTTGCCAACGCCGGGACTGGTTGGAAGAAGCGGAGAGGTGGTCAGTGTATGACATGGTGTCGTGGTGTGAAAGAAAGCTGCAAAGGACTGGCTTCTGTCGATCTTTCACGACTCCCTGGTTGGGGTCCGAGAGATGGTGCTACACAGTGGCTAGAGACGTTATCAGATATGGCTCAGAATAGAAGCCAGTGGCGATCCTGTTGTAGGCTTCTTTTACTTTCTTCATAAAAAGTGATTGTATTTTCCTTAACTGAAAGATTTCTTCTGATTGTATTTTTCCGTTCCCTCATTATTTCTATTATTATTACGACACTACCTACACCAACCTCTTCGTTATTGTTCTCTTTTTTTTACGCTTCTTACCTTTTTTTCTTTCTCTTTGAATTCTCATTGTTTTGTGTGGCCCATATATATTGGCGCTCTATTATACCAATATTTATGTGTTCAAATAAATAAATAAATAATGAAGCCAAACTTTAAAACCTTCTGTATGTTTTGAACAATTGACCTCTAAAAATGATGTACTCATAAAATATCAAACAATACGGAAGAAAATCACGATTTAATCGTTACTTTTGTCTCTCAAGCACTATTCCAAAATGTCCAGGTAGAAATGACATTTAAAACTTTGTTTCAAGTGACGTGTAATTAAACATTAGTATACTTACTTCTGTCATATTACCCAAAGTGACGGGATAATAAATTTCTTGTAGAGTGTTACTCCTGTCACTTTTTGTCGGACGTAGTTGCCCAGAAGAAGCAGACCAATTATCTAGAATCCTTGACAAGTATTCGACATTACTTAGGTCATTCATGACAACTTCTAAATTGCCAAACATAATTAATAATAGCAGTAATGTAAATGTCATTTTCTATAAAGTATTGCTGTAAGCAAATTTACAGTCTATTGGTTTTAATTAGCTGTTTGAATGTTATTCGCCACAGAAGTCACCACGGAGGCTTTCTTTATATTTTAGATAACTGCTTAGTCGGTTGTTTTGCGTGTCTGAGAGATGTTCCTCCGAAATATGTGAAATGGTTTCATCCAAAAATAGTCAACTAACGTATTTTTCAGATGGACGTAGAATTTATTTATTGTATATGAACACGAGATTAATATAGCTGTTCGACGGAGATTGTCGAATTTTCGTAGTATACATCACGGACTAACCTTAGTTACATTAACATCTGAAAATAGAAAGCACTGATCGAATGTTTCGTCCCAGTAGAGCTCACCCGTTGCCCACAGGATATAAATGATGGTCACATAATATAACAAATTGACCAAAATTAGACATAGGCGCTATTATCATTAACATTATCATTTTTTAGGTTTAGAGTGAGCTTTCCAAGTGACTTAGTTTGAGTAACTTCTTGTACTGATGATCTTAAGCGTACTCTTATTTATTTTATGAAGTCCGTCCTAGATCTCACTCAACCCGACTATTTTGACTTAACTGGATTAGCAAGGTAGTACTACCGTAAGATTGTTAAATAGCAAACCCATACTGTCCAGTCTTGAAACTAAAACAGTAGATTAGATTATAGTAAATAGAGAAACGCAATAAATTTTATTACCTGTCTCGCAGGAATCTAGGCGTAAAAGTGAGTCACAATGCTTAGACCAAGATTAACTGTCGCGTGGTCCTAGCTAAAGAGCTCCGACTTTTATGTGGGTAAGACAGTCGTTTACCAAGTTGGAGAGAAGTGTGTTCACCATGAGAAACAAAACCCTGGTGAGATTCTAAAGCAAAATATACGTTTGAACAGCAAACTCATGTTCAGTAAGTGACTCAGATGTCTTGATGAAGTATAGAGGACAGCTTAATGTTCAGTTTTGGAGTTTTGTTGATTACTATAGACACTGTGTCTTAAGAATTTATATCTTTCTACTCTGCTTCACTACAAAATGAAAAACCATCCAACATTGACAGTTAGGTCACTAAGCGTTAATTTTGGATCAGATATATCCTTTGCTTTTCTTTCATCCAGGTCAGAATAGGTTGATTAATTTAGAAGATGGCCTTGAAGGCCAAAAACGAAATACCAGTGACACACACATTTTTAACAAGAAACAAACTACTCGAACTTACTTCTGTAAATACTGAATAAGTAAGCAATTCGGCGAGATGATAATATACGGACGAGCCAATCAGATCTATGATTGAAAGATTTCGGCGTGAAATTCATCCACCCACATGTCAGGTCGCATTTTGACATTACAACTTAAGTCAGTTCGTAATTAATACTGTGACCCCAGTTCCTAACCCTCACATCCAACGAAAAATCCCAATCCTAATTCCTTATACTAATTTGCGAACCTAATGTCGCTCTTACAAGTAAGTGAAAGTTTTCTATATCGCTTAAGTATTACTCAAAATTCGTCCATAAATTGTGGTCACATTAACAACTCATATAGATAGATCATATCCAGCAAGATGATTAAACCCTAACTATTACGGAGAACCTACTTAGCCCTTAAATTTGTAGGCGGTCACAACTACATTTTCGCTCCTAATCCTCGAAGGACTTGAGTCCATAAAATTCTCATGCATTTGAACAAAAATTACGTTTTTTTTTCTAGACCACCCGAAATTTTATAGCAGATCCCTTGGTAACTTATCAGTGATTGTCAACAAATATTTTTAAAGGGAAAGACGAAATACATGCACGCATCAGCGCATGGAAATGGTTAACTGATATAATGTTTTACAATGACGAGAGCAGCTATAAGTGGGAAGTTGAGACAACAGTTGATGAGGTTAATTTTTAAAAAGAAAGAGAAGCCATAATTCTGTATTTAAGAAGAGGTCATTTTAAACACTGCGAATTCAGTAAAATTGATTCCAGTTTTCATACATATGTAGAATTATTTTGAAATGTATGTATGCGTTAGTAAGTACTATTATTCAGATCTAGTTACTTATAAGACGTAAATATTACCGCCAAAATTTTACTTCCATTATCATTTATGACTGGCACGTCATTAAACGATCACATTTTCATAGTACGTATCAAGAATTCTTGATATATATCAAGAAGAGCTTATATAAGCTCTTTCACATTCTTCATATATGCACTAACCCGTATTGTAGGCAGATACTGATTCCAACGACTACAATGTTAAGATCAAAGACAGAAAGTAGATCATATACAATGTGGAAGTAACACAGATTTGAAAATAATAACCTGAAAATCGACGTACGAAATTGATTGTTTGCGCGTTATTCACTTAGTTCTTCATACATTAAAACATTTAAACTCAACATTTAATATACTGTTTCGTTCCAGAACCAACAAAATACAAATTAATAAACAGTTATAAAACCCATATGAAAAGTATTTTAGTGTATTCTGAAAACACACCAGTGTTCAGTAATTCCGTCACTGGCTTGCATAAATCTATTTATTTCTTTGCACTAGCTTCTTTTTGTTTCGGTACGGTTCCAAGTATTTGCTAATGTCCAATGAGTATTAGATTAGCCACTTAAATGCACTGATTCCAGTCTGCCCGGTGGATATTTGTGAGTTCTTTTATCTTGTGCATTCGTCTCGAACCATTAGGGTTTCTAGATACCAACAGCCATCTTGTTATCAGGTGGAAGGTTAATTTATTGCAATGTGAAAATTATATATTTGGTTGTTATGTGGAGGATAATAAGAGTAAAACATTAGGTCCCAGAAAATCAAGTTGGAGATAACCGCCAACGAAGAACAGAGAAATTTTTTATTTCATTGTGGAGCGATTTAAACGGACATGATATTAAAAATAACAGGTGAATAAGGATTATATGAAACGATGTTGCAGCAACTGATCAGGAAATTCATGTATTGTTTTCAATATATTTAGTCTCATTGTTGACATATGCGAAATGTAAATCTGCGTGACGACTATATCACATAATGGGATTTTAATGATGATTTCTTGTAGAGATATTTCAATTAATCGCAGTAAGATGTATAGTAATAGCCTTTAGTTAATTATTTAAGTAGTTCAAATATCTTATGTTTAGACATATAAGAAAATCAATATTTTATCAGTACTGATTTAAATATTATTTTTAGTTTGAATTTGAGAGTTAGTTGACATTTATGCCGGTATACTGTCCGTATGAGTTGATTTCCACTTGCCTTTGCATTAATATGATAACTGAAGGAACAAAAGTGTAACCGTGGAGAGGAAGAATTCCAACTACTGTTCCAGTTAGTTTGCCGAAGTTAGTACGGTTTGTCCAATTGCGGGGAAATTTTCTAAACCTCATTATATTACCGTGATAAGATTCAATAAAACTTCTAAAAAAATGAATTTTTATTACGAATCTATTTAGTACAAGAATATACTGATAATCATGTGAAGTTAGGATAGTTTGCTGACGGTAGTTCATCATATATTAATGGGTCCAAGACAGATATATTCAGTTTAAAATAAGGCAGAAAACGACTTATTTGAAATAAAGTGATTAAACATAGTTGAAATCGATGAAGCCTATGTGTCACAAATATAAGTAACGTGGTTGTGTACGGCGTTTTTGACCAAATAAATTTTTACAAGATGACAAACAGTGAGTGCTGCTCGTGTGATTATTAAGGAGGAAATAGGTTGTAACCAAGGGGAGTACAACTTCTAACTCATGTCAGTGAAAATGGCATGAACGTTTGTCAGTGTTGGGGTAAATTCGACAGTTTTTTCAGTTTGCAGGAGATTTGCTCGGCTGAATGTATTACTTAGTCGGATACATGATTGTATCGCTAAACCTCCATCTAGACTGACAAGGTTTTAAGATGTTTACTGAATAAGCAAGTGATAGAGAAACATATTGATCATAGATAAAAATAACCACCAGAAAACAACACTATTTAATGATAATTACAAGTCAGTTTGTCGACCGATATTATTACCAATGGCTTTATTTAATATTATACTTCTGGTGCAATGTAGAATTCTCGGCACAATATATTTCAGCAAATTTACTTTTCTTATTTCCTGATCGATCCTTGTGATACATATTGAGTGGTCGCCAGTTAGATATTGGCAGTTCAGAAATCGACATTTAACCAATGTTCATCCTTTTCGATGCATGTTACCAGCAACCATGATGTCTCCAGTTGGGCTCCTTTTGTAATTCGTACAGCGAAATGTAGTAAACTCGTCACAAACGCTCCTGAATAGGCTATGCGACGAATGTCTTAAGCAAACAAAAAACAGACTTGTTGAAATATCCAGATGGTAGGAACAGGTAGTTCAGATATTCAAACAGGCCGCCTAGAATTGTTAATCGGTTCATCAATTTTATCGATCATATTACGTAAAAGTCAAATCATGACATTGATTTATGACGATATCCAGAAACCGTAATGAATAACTATTTGGAGCGTCGAATCAGCAACACTATAAGTCCGTGGCACTAACAGATCCGAGCTGCCTCATTACATTACAAATTACCACCACAGCTATTATCATTTTTACTTCGGCTAGTCTGATCAGCCCATCCTGTAAGATCTATTTTGAAGGTTTTGTGTGTTGGTAAAATCCCTCCATGTATATACTTGTACTTTGTTCCTATTGATCCCCTTAGTTGTACATTATTGTATTTTGATTATATTTGAATTGTTAATACTTGTATTTTTTATTATAATTTTTGTTTTTCTTACGCATTCACTAAGTTTGTGTTTCTTCCTGAACTTCATCTGTGTTGTTTTACTTGACACTTGTTCTTGGCGGCAGCCATATTGATTTGCTCCTCCCTTTCTGCGTGTTCTATCCAGTCAGGATAGAATACCGTTCATTTGTTATGACTGGTAATTTTCCCTCATCTTTTATCAACTTTTTTATTTATTTAATTTAGATTTGATTGATTGAACAATTATTGGTTGAATGGCCGGGTGGTAATATTTGTTTAGGTAACGATTTACATTTAAATTTATGATGAATTATAGAACCACTATTTACCCGATTACTTGTTTTGATTTCGACGGGAAAGGGCGCGTGTCTAAAGTCCCCGGAAAGCTATTCTTCTATCCAAACCGTAGTTTGGATTCTACAGTTCTAAACAATTATTACTTGGCCGAAATCCTTTGGCAATCGTTCGCGGATTTTGATTATCGTTTCTGGAAATATTTGTTCGTTTCGTTTATAATGCCAACTAATCGTCGAAGGAAATCAAACTCAAAATTCGTTGATGTTAATGAAGAATCCCCTATTACCAAGCAAGTGCTTTTTGATGTCCTTAAGTGTCATGGTTCAGACTCGAATAGGGTTGATTATCATGGTAGTGACTCTAGTCTTAATTCGATAACAGATGACGTAAAAAATCTTAGTTTAAAGGAGAAGCAAAGGCTTGAATTATCAGGAAAAAACGTTTTGCCTATAGCGCCTTTTGTTGGTCTAGAACTGCCAAAGGTTGAACTGAGTTATTTCGATGGACAGCCAAGAGGATACTGGATATTTATAAGGCAATTTGAGACCTATGTAGCGTCAAGAGTCACTGATGATAGCCAACGTTTGCTCTTTTTGGTGCACTATTGTAAGGGCAAGGCGAAAAGAGCTATTGAGGGTTGTGTCATGATGGAAGCATCCTCTGGTTATAAGAGAGCAAGGGAAATTCTAAAACGTTTGTTCGGATAGTCTCATGTAATCGCTCGAGAAACATTAGAAGACTTATTCAATGCTGTGAATTTTGATTATACTGACGGGGAGCAACTATCGAACTTGGCTATTAAAATGGAAAACTGTGCTATGGTCTTGGAACAGATGAATTATACCTCTGATCTAAATTCCTTAGTTACTTTGGAAAGAATAGTGAGACTCTTGGCACAACCTATGCAAGCCCAGTGGGCGGACTGGGTGGATAAATTGACCGAAGATGATAGAGAGCCGACGTTTCACGAACTCACTCAGTTTATCGCATCGTGTGCGAGAGTGGCTTGTAGTAGATTTGGACGGTTAGCAAATCGTTCACGAAAAGGGCATAACGTAAAGACGAACTGTCACGTGCAATCGGAGGAAGGGAATAGTTCGACAGCGAAAACTAAATGCAGTATGTGTTCCTGTGACCATGCTATCTATAAATGTCCATAGTTCTTAGCGCTTACAGTTCAAGACCGATGGTCTCACGCTAAAAGCAAAGGCATTTGTTTCGTCTGTCTTAGACAAGGACATAAGGTTAATGAATGTAAGATGACAAGGCTCTGTAACGTTGACAGTTGTGAGAGGAGACATCACGCTCTGCTGCACACTGACTCGACAAGCAACGTCGTAAATGATAAGCCATCATGCCCGGAATATAGGAAAAGAGTTGTTAATCATACCAGTAAGATACAGACATTAGAGAACGAAATACGTAAGCCTTATGGCGTAGAGCTTTCAGATGCTCATTCAAGTGATGAATCATTATCAGTAGACGACAAGGCGGATATAAAGATTGTGGAGGGTGGCATGCGCTTCGACAACGGTCATTTTGTAGTTTCTATACCGTGGGAAAAGAATCCAGATACGAAAGTGGATAATTATGAAGTAGCAAACGTACATTACAAAGTTTGAAGGGTATGTTGTCCAAGGATGTCAGTCTGCACATCAGGTATATCAAAAGTATTGAAAGTGATTTTACTAAGACTTACGCGGAGAAAGTCTTTGAAATATATCTGCAGTCTTATTATCGCCCTCGATAGTATTTACCTCATCATGCAGTATTAAACATGAAAAAACCAGAAGAACTTAGAGTGGTCCTTGATTGTGCCGCCCAGTTTGCAGGGGGTTCCCCAAATGATATGATTTATCAAGAACCCGATACCACCGCTGAGTTAAGGTGTATATTAATAAGTTTTCGCAAGGAGGCAGTTGCAATCCCTGCAGATGTTGAAGAAATGTTCATGCAAGTGAAGGTCCCTGAGTCTGATCGAGGAGCTTCAAGATTTCTGTGGTGGCAGGAGGGAGACATGTCGAGGGAACCATCCGAGTTTCAAATGACATCCCATCCATTTGATGCCACATCCTCGCCGTTTCGTGCGAACTTTGCCTTGAATAAGACGACCCAAATATTCTCTGACGGTTATGATGGTTATGTTGTAGATGATGTCAAGAATAATTTCTATGTTGATGATTGCTTGATATCCATTCCCACTTGTGATCAAGCAAAGAGTTTCGTTAAGCAGGTAAGTGAATTATTATGTAGAGGAAGTATACAAAAAATGACCGATCTTGAATCTTGGTTCAAATGTCCTACTTTATTGCATG